TGAGAACGCAGGGTTACTCGTGGTCCCTAAAGTCTCCAAAAGTAGATCAGGAGCCAGAGCCTTCAGCTATCAGGCTCCTCTCCTGTGGAATCATCTTCCTGTTACGGTCCGGGAGGCAGACACCGTCTCCACATTTAAGACTAGACTTAAGACTTTCCTCTTTGATAAAGCTTATAGTTAGGGCTGGCTCAGGCTTGTCTTGTACCAGCCCCTAGTTAGGCTGACTTAGGTCTAGTCTGCCGGAGGACCCCCCTATAATACACCGGGCACCTTCTCTCCTTCTCTCTCTCTCTTTCTTTCTCTCTCGTATCCTATTACTGTATCTTGCTAACTCGGCCATTCTGGATGTCACTAACTCAGCTTCTTCTCCGGAGCCTTTGTGCTCCACTGTCTCTCAGGTTAACTCATATTGCAGCAGTGCCTCCATAGTGTGATGTGTGTGGTTGTGCTGCTGCCGTGGTCCTGCAAGATGCCTCCTGCTGCTGCTGCCATCATTAGTCATTAGTCATACTTCTACTGTTATTATACACATATGATTATTGTCACACATGTATACTGCCAGATATTAATATATACTTTCAACATATTGTACCACAGTAGCCAGAACTATAACTATAATATTATTACTTTCATTAATGTTGTTGTAAGCTACTGTCATTACCATCTGTCCTGTCTCTCTCTTTCTCTCTCTCTCTCTCTCTCTGTCTCTCTTTCTGTCTCATTGTGTCATACGGATTACTGTTCATTTATTATGCTGATCTGTTCTGTACGACATCTATTGCACGTCTGTCCGTCCTGGAAGAGGGATCCCTCCTCAGTTGCTCTTCCTGAGGTTTCTACCATTTTTTTCCCCCGTTAAAGGTTTTTTTTTGGGGGAGTTTTTCCTTATCCGCTGCGAGGGTCCAAAGGACAGAGGGATGTTGTATGCTGTAAAGCCCTGTGAGGCAAATTGTGATTTGTGATATTGGGCTTTATAAATAAAATTGATTGAATTGATTGATTGATAAACTGGAAAGGTATGGTATAAGGGGGTGGTGTTGAAATGGTTGAAAAGCTATATTGAGAACAGACAGCAGTTTCTGCAGATGGGTGATCACAAATCAACACTGTTAAACATTACCTGTGGGGTCTCACAGGGGTCTGTGTTAGGACCAAAACTCTTTATTTTATACATAAATTAGATATGTTTTTTTTTTTAAAAAAAACACTGGGTGGATATTAGGATTGTAAATAATTTGATGAATGTGTATATATTTTGGGTTGTAAATAACTTGGGGATAGTTGTTTGTATGTTTATATTTGGTTGTAAATTGATTTATGAAGCTGTTCAATTTATTAATAGATAAGTAAGAAAGGGGTAGGGTCATATAAGTTTTACTTCTACCTACTCCTTTTCGGACACTGTTCTTTTTGTTTGTATTCCATTTTCTGTTTTTAAATTTTATTTTTTTATGTTCGAAATATATAAATTCATTCATTCATTCATTGTACTCGAGCCTTCAGGAAAGCCATTCCCTTTCTCTCTTCGCGTTTTGGCTCCTCAACTCCTTGATTTCTTGCTGCTTGGTGATGCCTGTAATTTCTCCTGACATAAAGTCCAGCGCTCTCTTTATTTTGTCCCAGGGCTCCAGACTAACTTTTTTTAGTAGAAGCACTGTTGCCCCGCAATGAACATTTTAAGAGCACAAGCAGAAAATTTAGGGGCACACCCCTAATCATACTGCAATGCAATTATTCACATTTTTGGCCATTTTAACAGTATCATAAGCTATATGTAGTCTACTGTATATTAACAGTGGACTGTTTTAATTATTGAAGTATTTAGCATCACAGAGATTTGTGGTCAGTGAGATGTGAAGCCCTGACTATATCTGACTGATCTTTCATGAAAGCTGTTGTCTTTTTTTCCTATGAAAATATTAACCTTACAGTCAGACACAATTTATTTAGCCTATGTAGTTGAGGGGACAGGTCTGCTCTGCAGCAGCAAACTGATATGATGCTGATTTACATGAGAGTTCATGTCAAATGGAGATTGAACCATGAACATAAATTACAGAAAGCCTGTAAAACATTTTAATAAACTAATCTATTATCATTAAAACAATTGGAGACTGAGAACAAACTGATATATAAGTCTGATAAAATTTATTATTTATTATTTACAAACATTTCTGTTTTTGAACACGTGTAGATTGTGGAGGTGAACTGGCACCTCTCCAGCCACCAGTCCATGCTCCATATTTGGTCTGGACTGGGACTTGAACAGGCGACCCTCCAGTTCCCAACCCAAGAGCTACTGCCGCCCCAAAGTTGCCATTACAATGTACATTTTGCAACAGTTGAGGCCTGAACTCACAACCTCTGACAGCAAGGAGCATCCTCTATCTGACTGAGATAATTAGTAAGTAAACTTATATGACATATATATGAATATGACAGCAGAAATAGTTGAACGTTTCGAGTGAAACAGTAGAGGGCTGTCTCAGCCGCTTGCAGTCTCTGCCCTCGCAGACTTTACGTGATGACAGTGTATACATCACACTACGTACTACTGCCACTCTGCGCAGACTCAACGCGAGGAAAGTGTCAGGCCCAGATGGCATCCCTGGGCACAACTGCCTGAACAACTACCACCCAGTGGCTCTCACGCACATCATTGCGAAGTGTTTTGAGAGACTCATCCTCCCCTCCATCAAGTCTGCCATCCCTGTTGACCTTGACCAACATCAATTTGCATACCGAACTAATAGGTCAACAGAGGATGCTGTCATGATGGCACTCCACACAGCCCTCACTCACCTGGACCAGAGCAACACTTATGTAAGGATGCTGTTTGTGGATTCAGCTCCGCATTCAACACAGTCATCCCCCAAAAACTGGTCCTGAAACTGACCAGCCTGGGCTTAGGCAGTTCACTGTGCACATGGATACTGGACTTCCTCAGGAACAGGACCTCAGCACGTCAGGATGGGAGACTGCACTTCCTCCACACTCATCCTTAACACCAGAACACCACAGGGGTGTGTCCTCAGCCCCCTCCTCTTCTCCCTCTTCAACCATGACTGTTCCCCCATCCACCCCACAAACACCATCGTCAAGTTCGCTGATGACACCACCATTGTAGGACTGATTAGGAACAACGATGAGTCAGCCTACAGGGAGGAGGTCGAACGCCTGACAGACTGGTGCCTCCATAACAACCTGGACCTCAACACAGCCAAAACCAAGGAAATTATTGTGGATTTCAGAAAATCCAAAAAGACTGAGCCCCCCACCCTCTCCATCAAAGGAGAGGAAGTTGAGAGGGTGGAGAGCTTTAAATTCCTTGGTCTCCACATTTCGGTCAACCTCACCTGGTCTGTCCACACCTCCTATCAGGTGAGGAAGGCCCACCAGCGACATTACTTCCTCAGGAAGTTAAAGCAGGCCCACCTCCCCTGCCCACTGCTGGTTAACTTTTACAGGACCTCCATCGAGTCCATCCTGACCTACTGCTGCACAGTGTGGTTCACCAACTGCACCGCAGAGGACAGGAAGGACCTACAGCTGGTGGTGAGGACCGCAGAGAAGATCATCGGGACCATACTGCCCCCCCTCAAAGACACTTACACTGGCCGACCTCTCAGCAAGGCCAGAAACCTCAGCACAGACCCCACTCAACCCGGTCATTCCCTATTCTCACCCCTCCCCTCTGGAAAGAGATACCGCTCTATTAAAGCCAGAACAGCCGGACTCATTAACAGCTTCTTCCCCCAGGCCGTCAAAGTCATCACCCCACCCATCCCACCCAAAGACTGACACTGGAACCAAACTAAAATACTGAGTGCACTTGGTCGCAGTCTGGGGCCTTTATTTGAATAATGTCTGTAAATACCAGTCAAGTCAGGTACAGTTACAATAGCCACAACAGTCTGTAGTACAGCCACAGCTAGACCAGCTAGCCTAGTTAGCTAGCTTGCTCACCGGTGTCATCTTTCAGGTCCGTATTCAAAAATCGTCATCACAGCTGGGCAGTGGTCAAGAACCAAATGTATCTCAGTCATGTATAATCCAATGTCTGTAATCCAAAATCAGTTGTCTTTGACAAAATACTGTCACAAAGCCAAGGGCGAAAGAAAGTGAAACACCACAGACAGGAAATACAGGAATAAACACTAAAGAAGCTCATGTCAGACCTGTGGATGTCCCCATCAGCCTGCGGGTGTTTGTGTGTGTGCGTAGAACATGAGAATACTCATATATGCCTGTGTGAATAAGGCTGTGCTGCACCAATTCAAACACAGCATACTGCACTCTGCTGAGAACAACATCAAATGAGTTGTTTATCAAAAAGCTTTTATCCTGCTGTAGCAAATAAAGGTGTGTGTCTGCCTGTGGAAGTGTGTGTGGCAAGTTTTTTATGTGCATCTTGACTGTGTATGCTGCTCTACCCATGTACTCAAGGCCTAAGCCAGCAGTATGAAAAAGACTGTCACATTAGAATACATGGTATTTTCTTTCTATGCAGGCAGCCTGGAGATTTCTCACCTGATAAAGGCCGTGATCAAGAAGGATGATCTCAGTCTTATTGCTCTGGGTACACTTTCGAACCAACACGTTGCCTGGGTGCGGGTCACAATGAACAAAGCCATGGACAAAGATCATTTCACTGTACATCTTACCCAGGTTCTCTGAGATCTGTTGAGGAGATGAAAGGAAAAAAAGGAAAAATGCAAAAATGAACAAAAATGAATTTTAAAAGAAAATAGAGCTCAAAAATATAAATAAACCACCCCAAGTTTAGAATATTTGATCTAATTGCTATGGTCTCACTTTTACTAAATGTGACAATATTGGTTTGTTATTGTATCATTATTAATGATTAATACACTCTGGTAGAAATTTATTTCACATGAAGGAATGTTTGATTTCTGCATTGTCATGGTTTGGTATTTTGAGAGGCCTCAGAGTCCATCACACTGAGCACACTTTATGTGAGGAGGCCATGGGTGTTCAGAGGTACAGTAAGACTTGACTCCCATGGTAAACATGGATGAGAAACTGTACTGACCGAGGGCTGCATACTGTTTTGCCTCCCTCCCGGTGGCATGATTATATATGATTCTGTATAATTTGGGACATACTGTATAAAGCTGAGCAAAAGTAATGTTAGTCAAAGTTTTTTGTATGTCTGCGGTAGTAAACCTATATTCAAATAACTGAGGTTCATTGAATTTGTTCAATTATTCATCAAAATGAGGACTGACTGGATGTATTAGTTTTCCATATCATGCCCATCCAAAATTTCTTATCCATCACCCATCCATCTCATAGAATAAACACATTTGACTTTTCATATTTGAAATATTGTATAATCAGTAAAAACTGATGCATTTTTGAGAATAAAGATTGTGCACAGGCAGCGATTCAAATCACTCAAGGGTAATAACGTAAAAAGGCTGTCAATTTTTTATTTATTTTTTAAATCTCTTCTACCTTTAGATGTAGTAAACGAACAGCTTAAAAGTGATAGATATAGGATTCATACTTCCCGGTCAGTAGGTGTCGCACTCACACTCGCCCGCTTTTGCTCCACTCTTCAATTCTACAGGTTGCCAGGTTCGTAAATGACAGACACTGCAGAAAGCAATGTCAAGTGAAGAGTCTTTTGTGGTATAGTAATTAAAAAATAATAATAATAAATCATGAATCCTCTCTTGTGCGCCCTGTAACACACTGTAACAATCTCTGTAAAGCATTTTTAGCTCTACTCGTCACTAATGCTAACGTAATTAGTCAATTAGGATACTTTGTCGTGGTGGACACATGGGTTCCCTGATTCAACAACGTCCTGTATACACACAAAAACACGAAAGTGTTCTTGATATTAAAACGGCAAATATATTCCTCTGTTATAACTTCCTACCAATAATAATAATAATTAAAGCTGCAAGCAGCTGTGATCGGGCCCTTGCTCCCCCATGCAACCGCGGGGGCCTGAAACACACGGGGGCTGTGGCGCGAAGCGAGAAGGGAGAAAAAACCTGGCAGGAGCGAAAAAATGCAATGTTTCGTTCATCCACTAGGTGGCGCTATGAGCGTGACCAGATGTGGGCAGGTGCGTTCAGGGGTGGACCGTCATCACACATGAAGTTTTGAGCAAATCGTACAATGTCAATGTATAATAGGGCATTTCCTGTTTCCACAAGGGGTCGGCATGAGCGTAACCAGATGGGGGCATGTGCGTTTAGGGGTGGACTGTCATCACACGTGAAGTTTCGAGCAAATTGGACAATGTCAGTGTATAATAGGGCATTTCCTGATTCCACAATGGGGCGGCATGAGCGTAACCAGATGTTGGCAGGTGCGTTCAGGGGTGGACCCTCATCACACGTGAAATTTCGAGCAAATCGGACAATATATGAAGGATTTATATCAAGTTGATATTCCGTGGCGAAGGATGAAAAGTCGCCACTGCCGCGGCCTGCAACATGACAGGACACATGTGTCACTGTGGAGATTCATCAACTTGATTGTCATGTGGCCTCAAAATGTAGCTGATCAGGTCAGGAGCTTGAGGTTGGTGTTTCTCAGTGTAAAAGATGGCATTTCCTGTCTCCACAAGGGGGTGCCATGAGCGAGATTGCCTACGAGCATATGGAGGCGTTGAGGGCGGGACTCTTATCATGTACAGAAATTTTGAAGCAGTTTGGACGAATTATGTGGGAGAGAGAGCTGCTTGAATATGCATGGCGATCGATCAAAAATGGCAGCGCCATAGTAGCCACACCCTTTGACCGACAGACATGCAGAGCACAACTTTTGATCAGCATGGTCTCTGGATGATCTGTAAAAAATCTGAAGTCGATTGGATGAAATCCCTAGGACTAGTTCGTTAAAATATCACGCCAAAATGACAAGTCAAAATCAAAATGGCCGACTTCCTGTTTGGAGTAGACCATTGGTGCCAGAGACTTTTATGTGCGTTTGGACAACATACACATGTATACCAATTTTCATGTTCCAACTCCAAAAAAAAACCCTATGGGGAGGGGTTTTTGAAAATTTCAAGGGGTCACTATAGAGGCATTTTGTCCCCCCCATGGGCGACGCCCCTATCAGATATAAGAGCTCGCCATTCTTGACCTGTGTGTCAATTTTCATGAGGATATGAGGTAGCTGAAGCCATCAAAAAGCCAAACGTATTTGGTGGAGAGGGAGGCGCCATAGCGGCCACACCCCTTGACATAGAGAAAAGCTTTTAATAACTTTTGATCAGCATGGTCTCTGGATGATCTGTAAAACAGTTGAAGTTGACTGGATGAAATCCCTAGGAGGAGTTTGTTAAAATACAACATGTGGAAATCACGCCAAAATGACAAGTCAAAATCAAAATGGCCGACTTCCTGTTTAGAGTAGACCATTGGTGCAAGAGGCTTTTACGTGCGTCTGCACAACATACACATGTGTACCAATTTTCATGTTCCAACTCCAAAAAAAACCCTATGTGGAGGGTTTTTGAAAATTTCTAGGGTTTGCTATAGAGACATTTTGTCCCCCCCATGGGCGAAGCCCCTATCAGATGCAAGAGCTTGCCATTCTTGACCTGTGTATCAATTTTCATGAGGATATGAGGTCGCTGAAGCCATCAAAAAGCCAAACATATTTGTTGGCGAGGGAGGTGCCATAGCAGCCACGCCCTTTGACATAGAGAAAAGCTTTTAATAACTTTTGATCAGCATGGTTTCTGGATGATCTTTCAAAAATTTGAAGTCGATTGGGTGAAATCCCTAGGACTAGTTCGTTAAAATACAACATGTGGAAATCACACCAAAATGACAAGTCAAAATCAAAATGGTTGACTTCCTGTTTGGAGTAGACCATTGGTGCCACAGACTTTTATGTGCGTCTGGACAACATACACATGTATACCAATTTTCATGTTCCTACTCCAAAAAAAAGCCTATGGGGAGGGGTTTTTGAAAATTTCAAGGGGGCGCTATAGAGGAGTTTTGTCCCCCCCATGGGCGACGCCCCTATCAGATGTAAGAGCTCGCCATTCTTGACCTGTGTATCAATTTTCATGAGGATATGAGGTCGTTGCCACATGGACACCATTAGACGTAGCTTCACAGCGTTCATAAGGTAGCTTCACCAACTTGTTATGCATGCATTAGAAGTGGAATAAAGTTGATGCTGTCAAGTTTGTGGCATTAGTACATGTTAAAGTAAAAACTGGTCACTTCCTGTTACCACCGGGGGGCACTATGAGTAAGGTGGGATATTAACATATCGGGGCGTTCGGGGCGGAGCCATCATTATGTCCAGCAAGTTTGAAACTGCTGAGATCAAGTATGTGGGCAGGAGAGCCGTTCGAAATTTGATGGCAAGAAAATGAAAAGTCGCCAAAATTTGTCACGCCCTAGCGGCCACGCCCCTTGACATAGAGAATAGCCTTTAATAACTTTTGATCAGCATGTTCTCAGGATGATCTGTAGCAAATTTGAAGTCGATCGGATGAAATCTCTTGGAGGAGATCGTTCAAATTTAAGTTGTGGAAATCACTGTAACGAAAAAATTCAAAACAAAATGGCTGACTTCCTGTTGGGATTTTACCATGACGTCAGGAGACTTTTTTGTGCATCTCGGTATGATACATGTGTGTACCAAATTTCGTTTGCCTACGACAAACTAACCCCAATGGGGAGGGGTTTTTGAAAATTTGTAGGGGGTGCTATTTTGGCATTTTGCATTGACCATGTGCAACCGCCCAAAAATATCGAATTTCGGATGTGGCCAGACGAATGTGGAAAGTTAGAAGCATTTTGAAATTTGGGAAAGGGGCGAAACTGGGGCATGAAATGTTGCAAGAACAATAATAATAATAATAAACAGCACAATTCTAATAGGGTCCTCCGCGGACGACTTCGTCGTCACTCGGGCCCTAATAAACAGCACGATTTCAATAGGGTCCTTGGACCGCTAGGTGCTCGGGCCCTAATAATAATATACAGCGTGATTACAATAGGGTCCTCATGGACGACTTCGTCGTCGCTTGGGCCCTAATAAACAGCACGATTTCAATAGGGTCCTCGGACCGCTAGGTGCTCGGGTCCTAATAATAATGAACAGCGCAATTTCAATAGGGTTCTCCGCAGACGACTTCGTCATCGCTTGGGCCCTAATAATAATTCCTTCCATCACCGACCTCGGTGGGAGGAGCCCTAATAATAATAATAATGATAATAATTATAATAATAATAATAATAATAATAAATCCTTGCATTTCAATAGGGTCCTTGCACCGCTAGGTGCTCGGGCCCTAATTAAAGCTGCAAGCAGCGATGAACGGGCCCTCGCACCTTCACGCAACTTGGGGGGGCTGGCAGGACGTCTTCTGACGTGTCAATTCATTTCTGTCAAAGTTAGACATCACATGCAGGAGTGACTTGGCATATCCCTGATACAGTGCTGGAATTACATATTTCACATTTTGTATCACTTCCTCTTTCCGCTAGAGGGAGTTGGAGAGCGCACGAATTATACATCATGTTTTTATACATCAAATACACACCACAGCATTTAACTTTCAGATAAATCAAAAGGTAAGTGTTTGAGACCTACTTCCTATCACCACTAGGTGGCACTATGACTATCAGGAAATATGGTCATATAAATGTTTTCAGGGCAGGAATACTATGAATCAAGTGAAGTTTGATGGATATCGGACCGTTTATGCCAAAGTTATTGCAGTTTCTTTTTTAATGGCGAGACCTCAAAATTCAACACTCCGCAGCACGCGTAGACACTAATGATATGTCATGTTTGTGAACATCAAATACACAACACAGCACTGAAATTTCAGGTTAATCCAAAGATAAGTGTCTGGTAAGAAGTACTTCCTTTCACCACTAGGTGGCGCTATGACTATCACGGAATATTGTCATATAAATGTGTTCAGGGTGGGACAAATATGAATCATGTGCAGTTTGGTGGGTATCGGACCATTTACGCCAAAGTTACAGCACTTTCGTTTTTCATGGCGAGACCTCAAAATTCAACACTCCGCAGCAGGCACGCCATTCAACATTGGGCAGATCCTGTAATAACTTTTGGTCACAAAGTAGTCAAGCTCACATAAACCAAGTTTGGAGCAAATCTCATTAAATCTGTAGGACAAGTTTGTTAATTTACAAGCCCTGGAAATGGGCAAAAATGCACAAAAGTGGCACAAGTAAATTCAAAATGGTGGACTTCCTGTTGGGTTTAGAGCATGGCTCCAAGAGGCTGTTTTGTACGTGATGGAGTGTTACAGATGCCTACCAAGTTTCATACATGCAGGTCAAAGCAGCTTTGGGGGCTGCTTAATTGAAATATTCTAGGGGGCGCTGTTGAGCCATCTTGGTGCATCAAAGCACAAAAATCACATCAGACAACAGGACTTGCGACCCGTGATGTGTATGCCATGTTTGGTGAGTTTTCAAGCATCCCTTGTCCCTTCAAACAACATCGTGTTTAATGGCGAACAAGGCGGCGCCACGGTGACAGCGCTTGATGAAAACTCAAAAGTTTAATTTTTAAGTATCATCAAGGTCTCATGTTTTCATGCAGTTCGATCTAAATCTCCAGGAGGAGTTCGAAAAAGTAGATTTTGCAGTTTTTGCCATTTTCGGCAGGAAAAAAGTTAGGCAGAAGTGGGCGGGGCCATGCACACATGATGCAGCTCCATTCAGGAAATCCATAAATATAAGGCTTTTGAATGTGCGACATACGGTGTGGGAGTTACATGCCAAAAGGCGTTGGCCTTGATTGTAGCGCCCCCTGCAGGTGCACATATGTAATTTTTTCACCCCATGGAGCCCAAGATAGTCGGCCCCAAAGGACGATGGGCTCAGGGCGAGAATCAGGACACAGGCCAACGTCTGAGTTGCAGTATTCACCGTAATGGGAAGTGCATTGGAAGTACTAAAAGATGAATGCAGTACCTCGTTGACATTGATGCCGTGTTTCTTCATGTAGTCCCTCTCATTGACCTGCCCCCCCTCAACAAACTCCATGGTCAGGATCCTCTTTGTGGACAGATCCCAGTGGATCATGGGAACCTGTATGGCAAGGTAGGGCAAGTTTATTTATTTAGCACATTTCAGCAACAAGGCAATTCAAAGTGCTATACATAAAACATTAAAAGCATTGGGGATAGGGTGCAAAAGAAACTCATTTTAAAAGGACATTTAAATACAGGTAAAAACACTATTCAAGAACAAGAGAATAGACAATCAAAACAAGCTGAAATGTACTACATTTAAAATACAAGAAAAAAGTCTGGTTAAAGAAATGGATAAATATATGGTTTAATGAAAAGGCAGCAGCAAAAAAAAAGTCTTCAGTGTTGATGTTTAAGAGCTGAGTTTCAGCAGAACCTGCAGTTTTCTGAGAGTTTATTCCAGATATGTAATGCATAGAAAAACTAAACGTTGCTCCTGCATGTTTCGTCTTGATTCTGGGAACAGAAGGCAGACCTGTCTTAGATGACCTGAGAGGTCTGGATGGTTCATACTGTAGCAGAAGTTCAGAAATGTATGTCGTCCCTAAACCATTCAGTGCTTTATAAACCAACAGTAGTTCTTTTAAAATCATTTCTCTTGCAGACAGGAAGCCAGTGTAAAGACATCAGAACTAAAGAGATGTGATCCGCTTTCTTGGTAATTGTGAGGACTCCAGCAGCAGAGTCTAAATCAGCTGCAGCTGTCTTACTAATTTTTTAGGGAGACCTTTAAAAACACTTTTACAGTTGTCAAGTCTACTGAAGATACATGCATGGACAAATGTTTCCAAATCCTACTGAGACACAAGTCCTTTTATCCATGACATGTTGTCAAGGTGAAAGTAGGCTGACTTTGTAATTGTCCTTTGAAATTCAGATCTGAGTCCATGACTACACCAAGATTTCTGGCTTGGTCTGTGGTTTTTAACATTGCCAATAGAAACTGCATTGACTTTTAATTGTTCCTCCTGACCTCAGTTTTGTCTTTGTTTGACTGAAGAAAATTGTGGCACATCCATTCATTGATCTGATCACTACACTTACTTGGTGAGATGGTTATGTAAATTTGTGTGTGGTCTGCATAATTATGGTGACATGTTTTGTTGTTTTCCATAATCCGAACCAGTGGAAAAATGAAGAAGAGAAGAGGTCCCAGAATGGAGCCTAGGGGAACTACAGCTCAGATGTATAATTGCTAGGGCTGTCAAACAATTTATTTTTTAATTACGATTAATTGCTGAATTTCCAATAGCTAATCAAGATAAATTACATTTTTTTTATTGCATGTATAAACTTTTTGCATTTTGCGTTTCAAAGCAGTTTTGAGCACACACCAAATGATGAAATATATCACCAAAAACCAGTGCTGCACAAACTAACACACCACAGATCAGTTCAGTTCAAAAGGTGTATTCATTCAGCACACAAAGCAATTTTAATGTGAGTGTGTGCGGAAAAATTGTGCCATAACCTCAAGAGTTCAGTCTACTGATTTTGTTTTTTTAGTTTTCCTGATAACCCTTCCCAGTTCAGTCCCAGTCCAGTTTTTAACCAACAAATGAAAATACAACTCAAAATTCTGCTCCAGGTTTTACCACAGATAGCCACAAAACAACTCAGGAAATCAAAATACAAAATAGCATCTATATTCGCAGTTCAATGACAAGAAATTATTTACAATATATACACCTGGTACCAGTCAGTCAGTCAGTCCGTCAATTAGTCAGTCGGGTTTGCTGCGTCAGACTTAACTCTTTTAAGACTACAACTCCTGGAGAAACTCTGACAGGGAAAAACACATCCACATGATGCTCCCACATGCTTTTTCTTTTTTTTTTATAAAGTAGTAAGTAAAATGAGCCATTAAAAAAGTGCAGTGGGGTGGGGCATCGGCGGCTTAGTGGATAGAGCAAGCGCCCCATGTACAGCGGCCCAGGTTCGAATCCAGCCTGTGTCCCTTTGCTGCATGTCATCCCCCCTCTCTCTCTCCCTCTTTCACACTTACCTGTCCTGTCCAATAAAGGCAAAATGCCCTAAAAAAAAAACTTTAACAAAAAAAAAAAAGTGTGCAGTTGTGTCTTTTTTTCATCACTGCGGCAGCAGGAAGCAAGAGTTGCTGCGGTGGCTTGATTAGGGTGCATTGAAGGGACAAAAATATCAGCATGCAATAAATGAGATTTTGAAAAAGCACGTTATGATTGGACTTTAATTGTATTGCAACCAACGCATTAACGCTCACAGCCTAAATAACTACATAAAGCACAAAACAGTTCCTACCCTTTCAGTAGGAATTAAACCAGTTTAGTACTGTGCCAAAGAGTCCCACCCAGTTTTCAAGTCGGTCTAGTAATATGTTGTGATTAACAATGCAGCAGCATGCATCCAGAAATACTGAGACTGAAATTCTGCCAATGTCTGTGTTTAAGCAGATGTCATTAAAGACCTTAACAGCAGTCTTAGCGATGTGGTGTGGTTGAAAACCTGACTGGAAGGCATCAAAACTAGTGCCAATAAGTTATTTAACTGTAGAAAAACTTTATTTTCAATGATTTTACTTAAAAACCAGAGGTTTAAAATGGGCCTATCATTGGCCATTAGAGATATGTCTAAATTGTTTTTTTAAGAGTTACTTGATGACTGCAGTTTTCAGGGCCTGTGGGAAGACACCTGGGAGAAGAGATGTTATTTACAATTTCTAGATGTTCTGAGGCCACACTTTGAAGCATTTTTAGAAGAGCCTGTTGTTAAAATATTAAGGCAGAAGGAGAAAGATTCAGTGTTCATTTCACTGAAGAAAACTAGGACTAAATGTTATTGTCAACAACCTAAAAATAGATCTTGATAACAATTAAGAGGAAATCTCTGTTTCATTTTGGTTGACAAGTCGAGAAGTGACAAAAATGTTAGTAGTGGACTATCAGACATTGAAAACCATAATTATCTTCAACTGCTGCATAAGTGACAGGGTGGTAAACTCCAGTAAATAGTCATGCATGAGGATGTTGCAGATTAAGAAAGAATTCAGGCTTTAATTAAGTTATTTTTCTGCTTCTTAACAGTGAGATGGATAAGATCAGAGTTTACAATGAAACTGGGTACAAATCCTAGTTGTCTCACATTAGTTATTTGTAGTGTCAAAGTTTTTGAGAGAATAAATAAAGAGGTGTTGAGCTTTTTAACCTGCCAAAAACTGCTAGAAAAATGACAGTTTGTAAGTATGTAGAAATTATTTGTAGTTGTAGAAAAAACTTTTTTATACAACCTGTCATCTTGATTCTAAGAAATATGTTTTGTCACATACACAGCAGGAGTGATGGCCTGTCAAAATAAAATCCTTCTGTTAATTTTGGACAACCACTCTGGCCAACTAGAGTTTGACAGGATGTATTTCAACAGAATTTTCTTTCATTTTGCCAGGTTGTACGTCTTTGTCTGTTGCAATTGAAAAATGCAGAATCGAAAATAGCAAATGAAAGAGAAAAAGACAAAACCAAAGTTCTACCTCTGGATCTCTGAACATTGTGAATTAGACTTCTTTTTCCAGATGTCTTTCTTTGGTCAATCACTACAGCTAATTAAAGTTCTCAAACATATGTATTAGGAAAAAGGGCACAAGGAAATTAAATGATAATGGACATGAAGTTCAGTCCTGTATATTAAAGGAAATATGATTTGCAGTGTTCTGAGTGCCATCCTTTCTCTGTTAGAGCAGACAGGCAGCACAGAGGAAGCTGTCATACACTGTGTGAAATTCTGACCTCTATTAACTGTATTGAGTATAATTTTAAATAAGAGGACCTTAAATTAAAACAGCATGGCTCTTTATTGTATTGTATTCTTTTCTTTTTTAAAATACTTTATTTATTCATTTTCAGATGTGCAAAACAGAACATCAAGGTAAATAACAACCAGAACTATTACCCCTTTCTTTCCACCCCTCTCCCTCAAAGCAGGCTAGGAAAAGAAGAAAAAGAAAGAGAGAAAAAAAAAGGAAAATCTGTACTGTACTAAATATTCAAACACAGTCAAAACATTGAGGTGTCATCAGGGTCCTCTCCGCTGTGGGATGTGATCAAGAAATGGTTGCCATATCTGATGAAATCTATTTGATTTCCCTGATATCTCAAATTGAATTTTCTCCATATACAAGGTACTTGAGAGCTCTGTGAGACAGGCTTCAAAACTTGGAGGTATCTCTTTGTTCCAGACTTTAAGAATAATTTTCTTAGCAATGACCATCCCATACTGGACTTGACAGAACCTTCCAGTGGCTAAGAGTCTTGAGCTGTTGATACCAGCCAAGAATGCAGAAGTTTAGTGCAGAATCAGAACATGTGTGCCAGTGTGCCCTCAGACTGTTTGCATTTTACACATAGTGGTGAAGAGGATGAAAAAAATGAATGCAGTTTCACACGTGATTAATGGAGTCTATGTATAACCTTATATTGAATTAGCTGGTGTCTTGAATTAGTTGAACATGTGTGTATGCTACGAAGACATTCACACCATGCATCTTCTGAGATGACGGTGCCTATTTGCCTCTCCCAGCACTCTCTCAGGTGTTGTGTACTTGGAGCAGTCTAAGCCACAAATACATTTACAAACATAGACACTAGCCTTTTGGACTCAGGTTCCTTTGTTAGAAGAGAATAGACTTTGTCAGGGGAGTAATAAATTTCAAAATTTGAAATGCTTACTCTAGCATAGTTCCTGACTTGTAAATACCTGAAAAAATGAGATGGTTTCAATTCAAATTTGTCTTTAAGTTGATAAAATGAGGAAAAAGCATTGTCAATATACAAGTCTTTCACAGTGACCAGGCCTTTCCCTTTCCAGACAGAGAAAACAGGATCTGATTGAGAAGGATGAAATGTATGATTGTGGCAAATGGGGACACACATAGAAGTGTTTGTTTGTTTAAATGTTTTTTTTAATTTGGTACCACACCCTTAATGAGTTTTCTACTATAAATCCAATCCCTTTAAATGGTCCAGGGTTTCTCTTTGTTGTATTGAGTAGTGCTGGGAGGGAAGTACCAGTAATATCCTGTTGTATGGC